GGGGAGAAAATGAATTATTCAGAATTTGGATATTTTTCCAATTGAGAGGATTTTCTCTCTCTAGGTTCTTAGGAACTACTTTTGATTCTTATCCTTGAATTTCCTAATTCAAAGTGGCGAATCTTCCTCAACTTATCAATCTTTAGGGATTGTGGCGTTGTTCTTCCATTTCTTACCTCAATCCATATTTTTTTCTTTTAATTTCTTAATTATGAGCTTTCCAACCTAGATAGACCCGTAAAACGAATCCATCCCTCTGGGTTCATATCATATACACTATAAAATCTTAATAATTTTGTTAATTAGCAACTGAAATAAATTTGGTCGTTATAATAATTCTCAATAATAAAAGGTTTAGTTTTTAATTTTATTATTTTGCGACTGAATTTGTGACGAGTCGCTATTTTAGCTATCAAAATCAAATTGGTCCCTAACTTGTATACAATTGGTCGCTAGTAAGTCACCAAAGGTTGAACAAATTAAGACTTCCACCAAAGTTTATTAACGACGGATTTAGCCATTAAATTTTGCCATCGAATATATTTGGTCTCTAAATCAGTCGCTAAATTAAAATAGGGGTCAAATCAATTTTCATCGTGAATTTAGTGGCTATTAGCGACGAAAAACATTTGGCGACTAAATTTGGTGATTATTTTGACTTTTTCTTATAGTGATTTATCTATTGATACACTTGAGATGTCAACTATGAGCTTGTTTTGGATTTATTAGAAAATTTTCTTTGATTTTTTATATATAAATATTTCACTAAAATACTTACTAATTATATTTTTCATTATAGCCTTTTCTTTTCTTTAGATTGTTTTGTCTAGACCACATGTATTCTACCCTTGAGGTAATCTTGCTTGAGACAAATAAGACCTCTATAGAATATAAAGTTTTTCGTCTAAGTATCTTACACTTGAAATTAAGATCACTATAATTAAGTTGAAATAACATGTGCTAGTTGATTCACATTCTCAATGGTGTTTTAGGATTTTACTTAACTTATTATATCTTTTAATTTATCATTTTTATTCATAAATTGAATTTAATATTTTTTTTAAAAGAAATTAACAATAGTTAAAAATTGTATGACAATATAAACTATTTATCAATATATATATATATATATATATATATATACAAAAATCTATATATAATTATAGCATAATTTATATATTGAAAAGGATATATTATTATAATTTTTAATTATATAAAGTAAACTGTTATATTTATGCATTGCATGAATGATTAAAAAAATAACTTGTTAACTTTTGGTTTACAAGAAGTAAAAAATAAAATAAAATATAAGATAAAAGTTAATATTTGAATTATAGAAATTAAAATATTATTTTTGAAAACAAAATATCTTCTTTGTTTTTTTTTCTTTTTCTTTAATAAATTAAGAGAAATTAATATATATATATATATATATATATATATATATATATATATATGTGTGTGTGTGTGTGTGTGTGTGTTAGGTATGTCCCCTCTATGCAAATATTTGTTATAATAAAATTTCTTTAGATCCTTTGGTTAGTATTGTTATTGTCTTTTGCCTTTGGTTCAATTTTATCTTAATAATAAAAAATTTCTATGTACACTTCAAAATGAGTCACATCCAAACATTTTTTAAAGGAAACCGAGTTTCCTTGCGATTAATGCGGTATGTAAAAAACTTTCTTCCAAAATAGGAAAACACACAATTAAACAACTAAAAAAATAAAATAAATATTTGTAATTTTAAAAATAAAACAAAAACAAACAATAATAGTAACAGAGTTTGCAAAGATTGATTCGCATAATGAACGCTTCAACGGCAAAATTTTCCGCACCAGAAGGATTCTTGTTTCTCTCTCTTTGATCTCATTTCGCAACAACTCACATTTCCTCATGCATAATTCCCGTCTCTTCCAAATGTGTTAGGGTTTCTCATTTCCCTTTTTCTTCCTAATTTCCCCTCTCTTTCTTTTTTCACTTTCCAAATTCATTTTGGTATCTTGTGTGTGCTTGTGTTGCACAACTTTCCCTCTCTACATTCATGGAAGTTTCTATAATTTCATTTTGTCTCAAAAAAATGCATGATTGAACCAAAAATTGCAATAACTAGATGAGTAGAGGATATTGGAAGGGTGTGTGGGCAAGTTATTAATTAAGCTCCTCAAGTGAATGATCGAAGGGTTTCATTTTTGAGGTGAATAAAGGATAATTGAAGAAGATGAGCGCTTCTAGGTTCATCAAGTGTGTTACTGTTGGGGATGGAGCTGTGGGCAAAACTTGTTTGCTAATTTCCTACACTAGCAACACCTTTCCCACAGTGAGTTTTTTTCCCTTATTTTTCTTTGTTTGTTTATGTATTAGTAACAATGTGTTTCTTCTTCTTCTTCTCCTTCTTTTTATTTTTTATTTTTGTTTAAATCTTTTGGATTGAATGTTTACAAATTTGTATTTTTATTATAAGTACTATAATGATTATCATCTAATTAAAAAAATTTGAAATTTGATCAATGTGATAAAAATGGACAAAGACTTGAAGGTATTGTAAGAAAATTTGTATTTTTCTTCATTGTTATTTGAGAGAATCATAAATTTTGATGTCAAATAAATTTTGTACAAGGTTTTGATCATTTTATTTGAAAATTTTGGTTTGATATTATGATAAAAATGAAAACATTTTCTTTCTTAAAAGTCTTTGTAAAACTTATTTTATTTTGCTCGCCAAGATTAACAACTTTCTTTTAAAAAATCTTGGAGGATTTTTATGATATTTTTGTATGTAATTGGATTTCATCTCCATTAAGGAAGAATCAAAAGGTGTCTAACATGCGTAATGGATGTGAAAAAATATTTTCTTTGAAGTGTTCATGGATATAGATGTATAAAGCAAGGTATGTTATGACTTGTTTTGATTTATCTACATGATGATGGTTAAGAACTCGAGAGTTTTACATGCATTGATTTATCAGGTATTGATTTACATGTGATATAGGAAATAATGAGATTCAATGTTAAGTTTATCCTCTAAGTTGTCGTCAGATTTTGGGATTGTGTTTCAATGTCATATGTGATATATATTTCATCTTATATTTGTACTTATTGAGAAAGAAAGATGATTTTTTTTTCACATCTCTTCACTTTGATTGAAACCAGGATTACGTGCCAACTGTTTTTGATAATTTCAGCGCAAATGTGGTTGTGAATGGAGCCACTGTTAATTTGGGATTGTGGGACACTGCCGGTATTTTTTTTTCCTTGTCAAATAAGGATGTTGAATTATTTTTAGACTTTTATTGTTTTATTTTGTGTAATAGGACAAGAGGATTATAATAGATTACGACCATTGAGTTATCGTGGTGCCGATGTTTTCATACTGGCTTTCTCTCTCATAAGCAAAGCTAGTTATGAAAATGTTTCCAAAAAGGTATTTTTCTCACTATATTAAAATTTTATCTTCATGTCTTCCTCAATTTGAAAATGCACTTTAACAAGTTACTTTTGATGCAAATATGATGTTTCCATCCAAATCGAAACTATATTATATTTATATTAATTAAAAAAATACTAATAAATTGTGTGTTTTCATTTCCAGTGGATTCCAGAGTTGAAGCATTATGCACCTGGTGTTCCCATTATTTTGGTTGGCACAAAGCTTGGTAAATTAATTGCTACCTAATATGATGTTGGATGTTGTAATATTGTCCATTTGTTAATTTTTTTCTTCCAACATATCAATTTATAATTTTAACAAATGTTTGTGTTATGGAATCATCATATAATTATATGAATTCCATGACTGAAAATTTATGTGGTTGATTCATTAAAAAAATGTTATGTTCATTTTATAAATTATAAATTACTAAAAGGATTTTTTTTTTAACTTTTAGAAAGAAATGAATGATTATTCTATTAGAACATCTTGTTTGCTTATTTCCCTTTTTTTTATTATACTTTTCACCTCTATTTTATTTTTCTTATTAGTGCTTTTTATTGCTAGTTTAAATATTTTCATGTATTTAGTTAGACATTACTCTTCTTCCTTGTAGAGATTAGAATGTTTTGCAAGGTAGAGATTTTACATACACTAACATTGATATTTATTGTCAATATTCATATGTGGCTTGAATAATAAAGAGTATATAACATTTGCTCATTGATAGAAAAGGTTTAAGCATTTTAAATGACCAAATATTTGTATTGGGTTTTCTTTTATTTTCTCATTTACCTTTTCTTATGAATAATTAGATTAAAGGCAATTGTGAGTTTATAAGAATGCTAAAGGTCTAAATTATCAAACTCAACTTTGTCAACTTGGATTTACAAAGTGTTTGTCAAATGTAAAACATGTATTTAGAAGTTGTTATTTTGAAATTTTGGTTAAAACAACCATTTTTTCCTTTTCTATAAATGTGATAATATCTATCAATATTTAAAAGATTGATTTAAATATCAATTTTGTCAAATTTTAGTGACTTCCATTATAAGTTGTAGTTCACCATTGTTAAGTTTTTAATGAAGTAGTACGTGTATATGTAGATAAGTTGGTCCTATCTTCATATAAGTATTATTAGTTAAAAATGATTTATGCCTAACTTTCATTTGTATTCTATTTAAGCACAAATAATTGTGTTAAAAAATTTCTTAACCTTTGCATTCTTTATTAATTGTTCTATCAATTAAGAGTTAGTCCTTTACCACTTTGTGATTTGAAATGAGACAGATCTTCGAGATGATAAGCAGTTCTTCATAGACCATCCTGGTGCTGTACCCATTACCAATGTTCAAGTAAATATGATTCTTTATGGTTTTTTAGTTGTCTTGCACTCCTACAACATGGATGTAATCAACTTTAGGTTTTTAATTTAATTTTTCTTATATTCTTAAAGGGAGAAGAACTTAAGAAGCTGATTAATGCACCTGCTTACATTGAATGTAGTTCGAAATCACAAGAGGTATGTAATTGAATATATTTTCCTTTTCTTCTTGCACACAATGGTTAATTTCCTTGGTAGTCTTAAATTTACTTTTGGCCTTTATTGTAGAATGTGAAAGCAGTCTTTGATGCAGCCATAAGAGTTGTCCTTCAACCGCCAAAGCAAAAGAAAAAAAAGAATAAAGCACAAAAGGCATGTTCAATATTGTGATTCACTATGTCCAACCATTTGATGACAACCATTTGTTCTACTTATGTTGCCCTCCTCTTCTTCCATTTCTTCATTCCTTGGTCGTTGAAGAAGTTGGAGTCTTTCAGATGTTCATCTAACAAACACTAGATCCCCTTGAATCATAAGGTGGTTGATGTGTTTGCTTTCTTGGAATTATTGTGAGTTATAATGGTCAAATTTGCATTTCATGGTTCCCACCTTTTTCTTAACATATGTTTTATGTATTAATACATTGGAATATCCCAATTAGGATAACAACCTTATTTGTTTGAATATATTTAAATTATTTTTCATTTTGCTATAATACTTGTTATGGTTAATTTTTTTATGGTATTTCTTAGTTGTTTTTAATTGTTCTATAGTTTTAGAGATATTTTTCTTTATACTTTTGTATACTTTCTTTTTTTATTTATCATTGAAGTAACAAATGAGCCAGCTTTGTTTCTAACAAATAATGTTATACTCTAATATAAAATAAATGCATTGCTTTTTATAGCTAGTGTGATGCTTAACTAACATTTTTTACAAGAGTGGCAAAATAGGCCTCCAACGTATTATTAATGGTTAGCAATTTTTTTTCGTTTGAAGAAATTATTTTACTATATCAATGTAACTATTTTTAATTAATATAAGGCAAATGAACCATAGTATCAAATTTAAATTTCACCTAAATCAACTAAGGTCAACTTAATGATGACGAGTTTGAGTAGTAAGCCACTATTGTAAAAAATCAAAAAAAGAGTCAAAATTCATCTTATAGTATTTGAAAACTTCTTATTAAAACATCATACAAAATATAGTTTACATTTAATTAATTACAATTAAGACGCAATTTGTTAATATGACGTTTTTAACCTTTTTTAACTATTTTTTGGTTGATTAATTATCTATAATTTACTAATCAAGCTTAGATCCAAATAATGATAAGTAATGGTTACAATATGAAATATGAAATGACATGCTTGATGTTATAAAAAATATCCAATTCCTCAATGAGTAGGAATTTCCTATATATCAATAAAAACATGAGTTTCTTATAAATCTTTTCAATTAAAACTTTATATATTACATTGAAGAAACAAGTTAGCAATCGGTTAATAATTTTGTTTCCCATTTTCTTCAAACTCAATAGAGATATTATATTCAAATACTTGTTGTATATATTTAATTTTTTAATTAAATAATTAAATATTATGATATTTTCTCAATAATCGTACATATAAAATTTTAAATAGGTTAGAATTTATAACCATATAATCTTACAATAAATATTTACTTATTGTAACATCCTATTTTTTTAATAATAATATTATTAAAGTATTATTTTCTATGGTCAGAATTATTATTCTTATTTTTATGCAAGAAAAATTATTTATTATACTTATATATTTAATTTAATGGGAGAAGGGGAAAATGGGCCGGGTCGACCCGATTCAGTGAATTTTATGAGAAGGGGTTAGGCAGAGTATGCTAATCTATCTCATTTGGGCATTCTGGATGAATTGAGAAAAAGATGGAGTAGAAGGAAGGAGCTTTGAGGAGAAGTACTCAAAATGTCCCAAATTTGTGTCAATTGTTTCAGCTCAACATAATAAGGTACGAGGAGGGAAATGAGCTATTCATGTGTGGGATTACAAGAGAGAATGGGTAGTGGGAGAAATTCCTAAATTCTTAAGATTCTTCCATTTCTTTTTTGAAGTCGAAATTGATGATCCGATTAGATCCTAAATTGAACTGTGAACATGTTTATTGTATGATCTAATGAAATTAACGTTCTGAGAGATAATTGAATCCCTTTGAATTGTCTCTATGGGTTAGGGTTTCATTAAGAATTTGGGTACTGTTAAATGAGATGTGAGCTCATGAAATTGATGATGGATGTTGTGTTTCCATGTGAAAAAAAGTATTTTTGACCAATTGAATTAGTAAAAGAATGATTGTATGATTGCTCTTGAATTTTTGGGATGTTCTATTCACATTGCATTTTTTGGAAAACGCATTGGCGCTAGGCTTGAGTTCTTGGTGTTGGGCTTACATTCATGCTGATGAATGTGAAGCCTAGACAAAATCACGTCGGGCGTGAGATGTACCACGTTGAGGGTGATAATTTGGTAAACTCTCTATGGCTTCTTAGCACCGGGCGTGGCGCCGGACAAGAGAAAGACCTGGTGCTCTTTGTGGCTCCTTAGCACAGGGCAAAATTATAATTTCCCTGAGTGTAAATATATGTGTGTATTCTCTGTAGTGGCTTAAAGTTGGGCGCAACTTTGTAAGGCCCAACACAACCTATGTATTTGCTATGTATATTGATGTACTTTGATGATGATTTGAGTTGTATGGTGTACCTAGATGGCTATTATATGATTAAGTACAAATGGTGTGTAATTGTATGAGTTGATTTGCGAAATGTAATTGGGTGTGGAATGGTTGTAAGATGTAGATCTATATTAATTGTGCATTGGCATGGATAGAAAAAAATGAATGGATGAGGTGACATGACATGAGCATTGGTCATAAGTGGTGATTAACAATGTGACACTAATCATAAGTGATGTAAATGGTGTGGCCATGCATGGTCGTGACTGAGGAAAGTGATGAAGCTCGCCCATTGTGCGGCGCTTTGAGTCAATGCTTCTTAGGAGGTTGCATTATATATGCATTGATGTGAGCATGAGCACGACATATGAGTTGTATGATGATGTGATTGCGGTGATAATAATTGTTGAACATATGCGACAATGACATTGTTGTTATTGAAATGTATGTTGGGTTGACTATATGTTTGGGTTGGAGTTCTTTTCTTGTGTCTTACATATGCTTGCTTGTTTTTCTCACCCATGTGCTTTGTGGTTTTATCTTAGGTAATGGTGATAATGACGAGGGTAACACTCAAGGTGTCGAGAGTTGAAAGCTATGGATTTGCTTTGATAATGTAACATCATAGCAATGAGATTAGGATAGGGTTACTTTTATGTTGATTACCTTTCCTTTTGTATTTAAACATTGTTGAAAATCTTGTGCTTTATAATTATTATATTTGAATTGGTTGGATGTTCAAGGATGAATTGCATGGGAACCTATTTTACCTAAGTAGTTATTGAAAGTTTTCCTTATTTAATTGTATTATATATTGGGGTAGAATAGGTGTCACACTTATTTATTTTAAAACATAATGTGTTAAATTAATTTAATGACATATCAAATTGTTTTAAAATCATATACATACATACATATATATACATATATATATATATATATATATAAATAAGTCAAGATCTATTCATACCAGGTGTAAGTCTAAAAATTTACACCAAATTTCATGCCTTTGATAACTTTTTTGTATAATGCAAATTTAACTAATTCAACCGTTGAATTATGTGGTATTATACTTTATAAGATAATAGGTAAAACCACAAAATCCTCTAGGGTCAACTTTTCTCTTCAAAATCCAAGTAACAAGGGACTTGAATCAACTTCTACAACTTCAACTCAACTTCAGGGGAGGATCTAGATGCTCTTGGTGAATTAGAAGAAGAAAATGCCTCCTTTTGCTCCATAGCTTCTCTTTATAGAATTCCTAGAAATGAAACTTACAAAGTCCTAATTACAAAAAATCCTTATATACCTCTCCTTTTTCTTAGTCGAATTAATTTTGTAGGATTAAGTTAAACTATTAATTCACTTTCTTGAGATGTAATCAATTACATTGATCTTGTTGCTATGTAGAAAAAAAAAACCTTAACTGATGTAATTGGTTACATCTTCATGTAATAAGTTAAAAGATAACTTTAATTTTCAAGTCTCACCCTTTATTTCTTATGTAGTCGATTATGGATACCTTGTAATATATTACATTAGTAACATGGTCAAATTTTAAGAAATATGATAAATTATTTTAAAGATACTAACCAAACACATTTTTACTACTCAATCACAAATCTTCATCTGCTCTCATGTAATTAATTACTCTATAACATAATAAGTTACATAAGAGCATATCGATTTTTCTATAAATTTATATAATCAATTACTTAATTATGTAATTAACTACAACCAGGGACGGATGCACATTAAGCATAGTGGGGGCACTTGCCCCCACTACCAGTTTACACACACACACACACATATATATAGCAGTCTTGAGCTTTTCCAATTTGGTTCGATCCTCTTCCGTATCAGCCTCGAGCTGGACCATCTCCTGATTCGAAGTAGACCACTTCGTGTGCAATTCGGAGGCTGCAGCAAAGGTATGCACATATTCATTCAGCTCTGCGGTTACCTCCGGAGGAAGATCGGGATACGAATTGAGATCATCAACCATCTGCTCGATCTCCAGTTTGAACTGAGGGTCCATGAGAGCTTGGTCAAGATGATCCACATAAGCCTTCGAACGAAAGGAGGATAATAAAGGTTGGAAACTCGCCACGGTTTCTTGGGTCTTCCCCGAAGCCAAAGTCCCGCTAGTCCAATTCTCCAAGACCTCGAAAATGTCATCTTGAGAAGCTTCATCATCAAAGAAGCTTATGAGGTCTATGTCGCCAGGGGGAATGGAAGCTAGCAAAGTATCGGAAGGGGCAGCGTTAGTCGAACTCGCAGGTTGACCGGAAGGAGGAATTTGTTGGTCCTCAGAAGTTACATCTAGACCTGCACAAAAAGGATATGTTAGTGAGAAAATATTTTTTGGTGGAGTACCAGAATGTCCGATAATCACCTACCTTGTCCAGAGGACACCCCTGTGTCGAAATTAAAGGAAGGTGCATCAC